GAGCAGAACTTTGCAGCTCACCATAGGCGTGTATCGGGTCTGGCTTCAGCCCGTCCACTGAGTTTGTTTCATTTGTGCTAGTGCAAACAGGAGGGGGACATGTACATGGTTCTCTCGTTCTGCAGTTGCTTCTCTTTCCTCAAATACAGCAAGGCACCCAGGGTCACTGTGGTAGGCCCGGACTGGGCAAAAGCACAAGTTTGGGTGCTGTGGGTTTGGGCTGGTCCTTGAACAGTCCCAGTGTGGAGGAGCAAAGGTGAAACCACTCTGCTGTGGAACCGTTTGCTCAGGAAGGAGCTGCAGGGCTGTTCTTAAACTTGTCCTTACTGATGCTCTGGTGTGCATGAAGCAAATTGCTTTAGAAACACAGATTCAGGTATTTAATGTTGGGCAAAGAGGCACGTGCGCTCTGCTGGGAGCCCTAAGGGGATCTCGGGGAAACAGCCCTGTTCTAGGGCGTAACATATGTGGTGCAACATCCCCTTATCACGGCACTCTTGCAGTCCTTGCTCTGCATCCCTGCCATCCCTCCCCGGCTGCTTGGCAGCTGTGGGGCGACGGCATCTCTGCAGCTGTAAGACCCCAGTGCCCTCGTCCGACCAGGTGCCCTGCGTGGGCAAGGGGAGCCTGCAGCCCTGGGCTGGCAGCAGCGTCTCCTGCACGTGGGGCTCATAAGGAGGGCCCCAGCTCCCCTGGCCTCGCAGTAGACGGGTGCTCCGCCGGGGCCCACCCGTCCTGGCTGTTATCTCCGCTCTGCAATTCTGCCGGGTGCCCATCTCCTCCTTCCCCAGAGAGGGCAGTTTCTGGAGCTGTGGCCTCTATCTGTCCCCCACAGAGTCAGGTGCCTCTGGTCCCACCCCGTCCCCCTTCCCCTCTCCCCTGTGGGATTAACTGTTTAAAGCATTTTTTGGATTCTCGAGGTGGGTTTTGTTCACTGAGCCCTTTGTTCTCGATTGCTGCCTGTCTGGAGCCCTGCCCAAGCAGCCCAGCCGCTGCACTGGGGCTGCCAACTCCAGTTCACCCAAGGGCCGTCCCCTTCCCTGCAAGTAAGGACTGGGGCGGCAGCTTTCCAGAGCTAAAAATTACTTGCCAAGTGATGCCGTGACACTGCCAGCATGCCCGTCAGCTGGTCTGCATCCCCCGCAAGCACCATGTGATTTTTTTATACAGTGGTTTTATACGTGTAAGTCTGTAAGTAATTGAGAGGTGCCTTTTCCCCCATCCCCAAGCAGAGGTGATCGCTAGGGGTACGAGAGACTCAGTTCAAGCCCTGGACTGAACGCAGTGCCCCTGTATTACAAGTGCCCTGTGCACTGGGGTGGCCTGATACAGGCTGAGGATTTGGCTCAGCATTAGACTATGTGAATGGTCTTGAGTGTGTAAAATAGGTGAACACCTCAAATTAAAGGTTTTCCAGAAGAATGGAGCCATCTCCTCCCCAGCTCTGTTGCTGACTTCTGTCGTGGGTGCTGGTGTAAAACTTTCTCCCCTGGCCTGCATCCTGGGATGCTGAGCCGTGCCCCCTCTCCGGAGAGAGACAGGGGCAGCAAGGTTTATTGCTGGGGAGTCCCTTCTGGGATGGAACTGGGGACTGCAGGGCCGCTGCCCTGAGACAGGTCCCATCCTCGTGTCCGCTCTGTCTCCTGTGGGAAACCCTGCCCTGCCCGGGAGTGCCAGCAGAGGAATACTGCTTGCCCTTTTGTCTCCAGCTCTCCTCCTGCCCGCCTCCCTCTGGTTTCAGCTCTCAAAACAAAATCTGTGGTCTCCAGTAGGAACTTTGCTCTTTGCTTCCCAGCTCCTCTGCGCAGGGCGTTTGTGGGATGCAGCCCTGTGTGTGCAGCCAGCAGAAGTCCTTGAAGCCGCTCTGTACAAACAGTCTGTTGCTGTAGTTGTGGCTCCCCGGGTGTCCCGGCCGTAACAGCTGCTCCCTTCTCTGCTGCAGCCAAATGCCTCGTCCTGGGGCAGCTGCCTTCCCCCAGCCCCTTCCGTCGCACTCTCACCAATTGGTGAGAATTAGTGCCAGTGGAAATTTAAATCTTAATGGTCTAACAGCAGAATTATTACTAAATCTAACTGTTACAGAAGAAAATACTGCTACAGAAAAAGTTTCAACAATAACATAGCTAACACTTGATTTATGTATATTGAGTTCTTTGTTACTCCTGAAATCAGTTTTGCCCAACTCCCAAGTTTTCTTTATCCAGCAGTAAGTGGCCACTGGAGTTGTGTGACAGCAGGGTTTAAAGCCCTGGGGTCTTTAGGATGATCGTGCACCTCTCTCTCATCCAGCGCTCATTCTTTTCTGTAACTGCACCTTTACAAGGTGGCCACAAATACTTTGTGCTACGCAGAGCAGCTTTTTAGCTACTCTGTATACAAAAGCTGTATCACACAATTATGCAGCGTTAAGCAAAACTAAAACAAATTAAGCAATGACCATCTCATCATTAGAAAACTGTTGTTACAGCTATGCAAGCTAAAACAGACGGAGCCTGATGAGGGTGGTAGTCTTGAACCATGTGAATGTAGCTCTGCTGCAGGAGGATGCTGGTGGCTGTAAATCGGTGGTTTCATACACAGAACTGGGACATTTTGTGGGGAGGAGTCGGCATCATCCATATTTATAGGAAGTGCTGTGCTGTGACTGCTGATGCAGGGTCCTGCAACACCCACCCAGCATGGAGCAGCCCCTGGGGGAGTGGGGCTGGAGCTGGCTGGGCTGCAGCTCACACTGCCTGCGTATGCCTGGAGCAGGACAGGGACAGTCCTGCAGTGGCTGCCTGGATGTCAGCCCCCTCCTCGCGTGCACTGATAGCCATGGCTGACCAGGACACTGCCACTAACCAGCCTGCCGGTTTCTTCAGTGTTTCACAATCTCCTTCCACAGCCTCCTAGTGAACGCCCAAGATGCAGGCAGACTCCCTTCTTCACAGCGGCTACTTCCACCCTGTACTACGCTCCTGGCAGTGTACGGCAACCACCTTTGATGCCTCCAACCTCATCTACCCCATTTTTGTCACGTGAGTGAGCCCTGGCTCTCTGGATTAGGGATGGACCAAGCTCAGGTGGCTTAGGTGCTCCCTGAGCTCTTAGGTTCAGAGTCCCCAGAAGATTCCCTGTGGACCAGCCTGGTATAGGGGCTTGCTTCTCATGCCAAGTCCTCACATCTCTGTCCCATCCACCTCCTGCAGTGACAGCCCTGATGCAGTGGAGCCAATCCCCAGCCTCCCTGGACAAGCCAGGTAAAAACCCAGCCCCTCCAAGCTGCGTGCCAGTTGCTGCCGTGCCCCGTGCCTGAGCAGGGTTGATGTATGGCCTGAGATGAGCATGGGCCAGGGGTGACACTTCCAAACTTCTGTGGTCCCTGCCTTGGGGATCCCCCAGCATCAGGCAGGGCAGGAGCATTCGTCCGTCATGGAAGTGGAGAGAATCATACTAGGGATGCTGAGAAAATACCAATACTGGCAGGGATAGTGCCAGGGTCTCGTGATGTCCCAGAGCACTCACATGTTGTGTGGGCTGGGCACGCAGGGAAGTTGGAAGCGAATGGCCTTTCCAGCAGCAGCTAGAAAACCTGTGCAAGGACACAGGCTCCGGTCCTGCATTAGATCTTGCTGGACTGGCAGCTCCTGTCTTCATCTGCTGCTGCTACGTTAGCAGGGCTGTGGTCCAGGCCCCAGGGGGATGGTCCTGTGGGGAGGTGGGCTGGCTCTGCAACCGGGAAGCCGAGATAAGGGATCCAAGGCCAGGGCATGCTCGTCCTTTCAGAGCAAAGAGTGTCCATGCCAGGTAGGTAACGTTCCTGTAGCCCCACATAAAGTCCTGGATTGTTCCTCCCAACATTCAGGCAACACATCTGCTGTACCTCCAGCTGGATGGCATGGATGCTTGTAGGTGCTGGATCACTCACAAACCAGCATCCAAGTCACAGACCAGCTTGCCCCACAGAGCAGGTCTGGGTGCCTGGCAGTCCCTTCACTTTGCTCTTCTCAGGTACGGAGTCAACAAGCTGGAGGAGATGCTGCATCCCCTCGTCGAAGATGGTCTGAAGTGTGTGCTCATCTTTGGGGTGCCCAGCAAGGTCCACAAGGTCAGTGTGTGTGGTGGTGGCAGGGGGCTTGGGGTAGCCACAGGTGTGTGGGAGAGCAGTGTTGGGCTGTCGGGGTCTCCTGATCAAACAGGGGAAGTTCAGGGTCACTGGGCATGCTTGGACCCCACTCAGCAAAGGAGGACAGGGATGGTAGACTGCAGTGACACCCGAAATGCTCCCTCTAGGTGACTCTGGGTGTCCTCTGTCCCTTTGAACAAACAGTACGTCACTGCAGGGCAGAGAACAGGGACCTCTGTGCTGCAGAAAGCAGGATGAATGACTTGAGAAGAGCATCTCACATATGGCTTCCCTTGACCCAGCCTTGTGCTGGGAGCTGTTGCAGGTGGCCCCAAGACCTGCATTCACTGCTCAAAGGCACTACTCTGCCACCCTTGGTGGTCACACCGCCCTGCGTTACACGGTCTCACGGTTCAGAAAACGTTTCTTGGGCAGAACTGCTGCCTTGGAGGAGTTGGTGGGACACCCTCAGCTCTGTGTGCTGAAGCATTTCTCTTCTCACAGGATGAGAGAGGCTCTGCTGCTGATGCAGAGGACACACCTGCCATCCAGGCAATTAAGAAGATCCGCTCCACCTTCCCAGAGCTGCTCATAGCCTGTGATGTCTGCTTGTGCCCTTACACCTCCCACGGGCACTGCGGTGAGTGCACAGCTTGGGGTCCTGGGCTGCTCTTCGGGCACCTTCCCAGGACTGGGAGTCTCTGGGGGTTTGCTGTTTTCTGCTGAGGAGCTCTGGGTGCTGGTGGGGCCTGGCCAGCTCCTGCCCCAAGACTTGGCTCCCCAGTACTGGTGCAGTTGAGCCTGAGAGACCTCTCCTAGGTTTTAAGAACAGAGTGGGAGGCACGGGTGGTTAAGGCACCCACTCCCTGGCCATCTGAATCTGTCTGAGCGCCTCTCTGTGTACCCCATCTCTGTCTTCCCTTCCTTGGAGCACCCACATGTTGTGTCCAGTCCCTGGAGGGCTGCGTCCTTATCCAGCTCCCTTAACATGTTCTCTGCTGTTGCTCTGAGTATCTGTGTAGCAAGAGCCATGCTCCCACCCTGGGGACTGAGGCAACCAGCTGTCCAGCCCCTCACCTAACCCCAGGTTTGTCTCCTAGGCATCCTGCGTGAAGACGGCACCATCCAGAACGAGATCAGCTGCCAGCGGCTGGCAGAAGTGGCGCTGGCCTATGCCAAAGCAGGTGAGGAGTCTCCTGGCTGCGATACCTGAGTTTGACTCTCGCAGATTCGCCCCCTCTCACTTTCAGCAGGCCCAAAAGCAAAGTGGGCCTGGCTCCAACTGGGAGTGCTTTTGCTCCGAGCCGGGGGAGGTTCCCCTGCCCTCCACACACTGGCCCCAGCAGAGCTGCAGGCACCCGGGGCCCCTCTGGCCCTGGGGTCACCTGTTCCTGCAGACAGAGTCACAGCCTCGGGCACTTCTTGGCGTCTCCTCTTCCCCTGCAGGCTGCCACATCGTTGCGCCCTCAGATATGATGGATGGGCGCATCGCAGCCATGAAGAAGGCTCTGATCTCCAATGACTTGGGCAACAAGGTGAGCTTGCGATCTGCGTGTGCCAAAAGCGGGAGTGATGGCCACAGGGATGCTGCATCACAACAGGTCCTGGGCAAGCGGTGGAAGAAGCAAACCTCCACCTTGCCCAGGACACGTCACAGGCATTTCCCTGTCCCGGTGCACACAGGAAGGGAACGTCCTTGGCCAGACACAGGGACAGCGAGGTGCCAGGCCTCTGGCAGGGGAAGGAGAATGTGGGGCAGAGTATAAAACAGCCATAGGAGGGAAATCACTACTGCCCTGGCGCAGGGATGCAGCACTGAGCTTCTGGCCCTCACAGCTCTGCTCTCCTCTACAGGTCTCGGTGATGAGCTACAGCGCCAAGTTTGCTTCATGCTTCTATGGTCCCTTCAGGTGGGTCTGTCCCTCAGCCAGGAGTGTCCCCAGCCAGTGCCAGACTGGCCAGGAGGTGCATCCCCAGATAGTTACTTGGGAAGGGGGCTCGGCCAGAGCCTGGGCCACAGCTGGGGCCATACTGGTTGTTTCGGAGTGCCCTCCTCCTACTTCCCATTGCAAAAGGGAGACAAATGTACCTTGCCCAGGAGAGGCTGGCTGGTGGGAAGATAACCTTGGGTGATCTTCTGTCCCAGCCCTTCACCTGCTTGTCCTGGGTGCTGGTGGCAGGGCAGGCAGGGAGGGAGCTGCCTGCAGCTGCCAGAAACAGTGAGGAGGGGGAGTGTTGCCCCAAAGGGTGGCTTCAGGGACAAGCCTCAGCTCAGTCAACTATTAGACCTTGTCCCAAGAACAGCCTGACCCTCATGGGGTGTGCCTGAGAAATCTGCCTTGGAAAAGAGCAAAAGGAAAATGTCTGACACAATTTTACCCCAGACTCTGGGCATGGGGAGAGCAGTGGGTGTTGAAGCATGGCTCCCAGGGCTAGCCTGGGCCTGGTGGACCTCCCAGAGTGACCCTGGGGTGCTGAGGTGGGTTGGGAGAGCCCCCTTGTCCTGGCCCCGTTCGCTCATGCACCCAGGGCTGTCCTTGCATTTCTGAAGCTGTACGAGGTGAGAGGCATGGGGAGCCGTGCTGGTCCTCATCCCCTGCCCTCTGCCCTGCCTGTCACCAGGGATGCTGCGCTATCCAAACCCGCCTTCGGAGATAGGCAATGCTACCAGCTGCCCCCGGGCGCCAGGGGCCTGGCGATACGTGCCGTGGTGAGTAAGCCAGGGTCAGGCTGCCTGGGGCAGCACCAACGGTCGTGGGTTTGGGGAGAGCAAGCCCAGGGGTGTGGGAAGCAGAAGGTGGTAGGAGGCACACCAGCCAAAATGGATGGGGCTCTTCCCTCTCAAGTGAGAGAAATGTGAGGCCCATCAGCCTGTTGGAGAGCTGGTCCCCAGTGTGGGCCCAAGGACCATGCACTGGGAACAGTGGAGTTGGTGACCCCGTACCCTGCTACAGCTCAGGGTGTCAGGTCCAGGGACACACAGTCACCGTGCTTCTGCTCTCCCCCATCACAGCAGGAGCTCCTGCAGCCATTAGGGGCTCACCAGACCCTTCTGTGATCCCTCCTGGGTAAACCAACCACCAGCTCAAAACTTCTGGGGAAAAAAACAACCATCAACTTGCTGGAAAATGTTATTCTACCCCGAGCTGATGGGGTCACACGCGTGTTCCCCTCACAGGACCGGGATGTGCGTGAGGGAGCGGACATGCTGATGGTGAAGCCGGGGATGCCCTACCTGGATCTTGTGAGGGATGTCAAGGCTCGAGTAAGCTCTTTCTGCATGCCAGTGAGGGCACGAGGTGTGGATGAGGAGGGGGCAGAGAGGTGTGCGTTTGGGATGGCCAATTTGGATATCCAAACCGGAGGGGATGTGACTGTTGGTTTCATGTGTCGAGGTGGGTGCTGGAGCATCTCCGGGAGCACTGGGGTGTGCGGGGAAGGGATGCCAGGCACGGGGAGGGGTGTCCCCTGTCC